TTGTTTGAACAAAGCAAAAGAGAGAAAAAAACAGCGTATACAGAGAGTTATCTCTTTTTTGGCGAGAATTTCTAATGTTACTCCAGAAAAGTTTCCGAGTAATCTGCACATACTCGTTTCTTTTGTTTCATTTGAAAAAAAAAAACACAAAAATTTCTACATCAGCAGAGAGTTACCTTTTTTTCTGTTGAGATTTTTTTACCGTTTCCGAGTACTCTGCATATGCTCGGTTCAAATTATTTGAGGAATTTTGTGTATACAATTTTTCTTTTTGGTTTTTTGATTATGATCAGTTTGTCGTCAGAATTTAAACGAAGCACGTGTGCAGTGTGTTGCATTAAAAAAGTTTTAATTTAAAGTGAAAAAAGTCATAATTATAAGGTAAGTAATTCAAATTTAACTAAAAATGTCACGACGTACTACAAAGAGAAATCTTAAAATACAAGCTGACAATTTATTACGCAAAATATTAAGCAAACCACATAGGGATGAAGAGATAGACATGGCAGAAAATATTTCTGTTAATCAGCAGAAAGAAGAAAGAGAAGCTCCCATCCCAAATAGTCAAGTATCGCCTTCTGTAAGTCATATGGAAGAAATAGAAGCCACCATCCCAAATGTACAACCGGTGCCTCATGAAGTATTTCAAGCAAATAATCCAGTTAGCAGCAATTTTAAAGCATTTTTTAGTGAATGGTCCATTAAGTTTTCAATACCAAAAAATGCAATGAACGAACTTCTTTCCAAATTAAAATGCTTTGACGAAACATTGCCCTTGGATATTCGAACTTTACGAGAAACGTTTTCGTGGCACAATATGTACCAAAACACAGCTGTAAAGGACATGTATTTTATAAGGCTCCTTAAAGGTTTGTATCCTTGTGTTTTAAACTCTTTGATAATGTAAATCATATTTTTTCATTTTTTATTATTTAGATGCAGCATTGGAACATATTCCGGGAACTATGGGAAGTACCATAGAAACCCATATAAAACATTTTTTTAATTCGGCTAAAGACAGACTTAACAAACGGCTGAAAAATAAACGAAAAGAATGCAATTAAATTATTTTAAAATAAAGTTATAGACCTTAGTTATATTTATTCACATTGAATTGTAACTTTTTATGTTTTTTTATTATATTTTAATTTCTTTATTCATTAAATTTCACAAAAAGACTGAATAAAAATGATCTATTATTAAATTAAAATATATATACAGAATCAATTATTTAAAAAATTGGATAAATTTTTAGTATTTCGGTTTTTTTATTACAACTACAGAATAAATTCAGATTTTTTTGCGAATTTCGTATCAAACATCCTATTATTTTCCGATTTTCGAATGAATTATTCGAAATTTTCCCGATTTTCGGAAAAAAAAACTACAGAATAAATTCAGATTTTTTTTCCGAATTTCGTATCAAACATCCGAAAAATTTGCGAATTTCGTATCAAACATCCGATACGTTTCCGAATATCGCATAAAACATCCTATATTTCTCCGATTTTCCGATAAAACAATAGAACAAATTCAGATTTTTTTCCGAATTTCTTATCAAACATCCGAAAATTTTCCGAATTTCGTATCAAACATCCTATATCTCTCCGACTTTTCCTTTTTTCTTTGCCAAATTCTATACGAATTCGCCCCGAAACTCTTACGTTCTTCCAGATTTTTTTCCGCAAAATCTTTCAGAATCGTGGGCAATCTCACACAATTTTTTTCCGATTTCTTTCCGAATTCGACATCAGAGTCGGAAACTTGTGCAGAGTTTTTTCCGAATTTGGAAGAAAATCGGAAAAAAATGTTTGCTGGGATGTTCGTCGAACCAATTCGCCTGTGGATGGCCTGCTTAAGATAATTCATTCGAAGGTACAGGTCACCAATGTGAATAAACACTTATTTTACAAAATCTTTTGTCTCTATATAAGGTTATTTAATAAATCATTTTGGCTCTTTTTGAGCGGCGGTATTTATATCTTTCTAAGGTATATAAACACATAAGACTAACCCGCTGGATATAATAAACCCAATGGGTTAATCTTCTATAGTATAACATTTTACAAAATTTTATCCGGATTATTGGGATTTGTTGCTTAATCCGGATTTATTCAAACAGATTTACAATACAAAAATAAGTCTTGTCACAATAATGATATTAGGGTTGACGTTTTTTGTCGATAGCGACAAATAATTGCTATTCGGCCCAATTACGGTTGTCGTTACAATAGTCGTTGTCGACTTTATGTGCGAGTCGCCCTCGCCGTCGCTTCGATTCAAAAATGGTATTATGGTAAGGCATAGAAGCGACATCGACAGTTTAAAATAAAAGTTGGCAACAATTAAAAAAACGTTGGCAACACTCCCTTGTTATTGACAAAAAAAGGAATAATTTTGTTTTGTATTTTGAATTCTAATTTCGACTCTTTCGGAAAAATAAAAAATATAGTGAAAAAAATGAAGATTATAAATGCGTTACATATCTTAAGTTCAAGTGAGGATGAAAAGAAGAATGTATTAGTAGTGCAGCGGCATTTTGTATTTAATATTTGACCATGAAAATAACAAAAGCAAAACAATTTGAAATGTTGGTTTCCAAATTGAAAAAAACAACATGTTTGGCAAAAAGGGTATACCAAAAGTAATTTTCCAGCTAATTTAAAATCAGATTGGAATCCATTGCAACCAAATTAAATGTAAACTGGTCACCGATTAGAGAATCCGATGGCTGATAAAAAGTATGTTAAAATTAAAATATTTTTCGGGTTTTGCCTTGTTAAGGCGAAGATCATATGTTTTATGATTTATATGTTTGTTTTCTCTTTCGAGACGAGCTTAATGATCAGGAATTTGCAGTGAAAAGGAAAGCCAGATAGACACTATCACACACTCACCACTATGCGACGCGTTTCGCCGTTGGTTAAGCGGCTCATCAGGCATATTTGGTGTGGATGATGGATTTCAAGGGCCGTTCTCTGGAAAGTAGTATATATTTCGAACTTATTGCAAATTAGCATATGCGAATTATACACTAGAAACTCTCCAGGTTCGACTCAAGTTCTATTGGCAGATCTTTTTCACAGCAAAGTTTTGTTTTTGTAGTGATGGATTTTTTTTTTGTCCACAACAACTACATTGCTTCCAATGCATACACTTGTTTTAGTGCTGCTTTAGGAAGACGGGTTAATGGCTCTGAACGTAGAGACGGCAACTTCTAGTTGGCTGCACACCGAGGTCCGCGGTTCAAATCCCACAGCCAGGCTCGGCTGAATTTTTGAGTTTTGCCTAGTTAAGGCGAAGATCATATGTTTTATGATTTATGTGTTTGTTTTCTCTTTCGAGACGAGCTTAATGATCAGGAATTTGCAGTGAAAAGGAAAGCCAGATAGACACTATCACACACTCACCACTATGCGACGCGTTTCGCCGTTGGTTAAGCGGCTCATCAGGCATATTTGGTGTGGATGATGGCTTTCAAGGGCCGTTCTCTGGAAAGTAGTATATATTTCGATCTTATTGCAAATTAGCATATGCGAGTTATACACTAGAAACTCTCCAGGTTCGACTCAAGTTCTATTGGCAGATCTTTTTCACAGCAAAGTTTTGTTTTTGTAGTGATGGATTTTTTTTTTTGTCCACAACAACTACATTTCTTCCAATGCATACACTTGTTTTAGTGCTGCTTTAGGAAGACGGGTTAATGGCTCTGAACGTAGGGACGGCAACTTCTAGTTGGCTGCACACCGAGGTCCGCGGTTCAAATCCCACAGCCAGGCTCGGCTGAATTTTTGAGTTTTGCCTAGTTAAGGCGAAGATCATATGTTTTATGATTTATGTGTTTGTTTTCTCTTTCGAGACGAGCTTAATGATCAGGAATTTGCAGTGAAAAGGAAAGCCAGATAGACACTATCACACACTCACCACTATGCGACGCGTTTCGCCGTTGGTTAAGCGGCTCATCAGGCATATTTGGTGTGGATGATGGCTTTCAAGGGCCGTTCTCTGGAAAGTAGTATATATTTCGATCTTATTGCAAATTAGCATATGCGAGTTATACACTAGAAACTCTCCAGGTTCGACTCAAGTTCTATTGGCAGATCTTTTTCACAGCAAAGTTTTGTTTTTGTAGTGATGGATTTTTTTTTTGTCCACAACAACTACATTTCTTCCAATGCATACACTTGTTTTAGTGCTGCTTTAGGAAGACGGGTTAATGGCTCTGAACGTAGGGACGGCAACTTCTAGTTGAAAACAAACACATAAATCATAAAACATATGATCTTCGCCTTGACAAGGCAAAACTCAAAAATTCAGCCGAGCCTGGCTGTGGGATTTGAACCGCGGACCTCGGTGTGCAGCCAAGTAGGAGTTGCCGTCTCTACGTTCAGAGCCATTAACCCGTCTTCCTAAAGCAGCACTAAAACAAATGTATGCATTGGAAGCAATGTAGTTGTTGTGGACAAAAAAAAAATCCATCACTACAAAAACAAAACTTTGCTGTGAAAAAGATCTGCCAATAGAACATGAGTCGAACCTGGAGAGTTTCGCATATGCTAATTTGCAATAAGTTCGAAATATATACTACTTTCCAGAGAACGGCTTTTGAAAGCCATCATCCACACCAAATATGCCTGATGAGCCGCTTAACCAACGGCGAAACGCGTCGCATAGTGGTGAGTGTGTGACAGTGTCTATCTGGCTTTCCTTTTCACTGCAAATTCCTGATCATTAAGCTCGTCTCGAAAGAGAAAACAAACACATAAAATATTTTTCTATTTTTTTTTAGTTAGTTTTCTAAAGTTCTTCTAGGTTTGGAAAGATTAAAATTTCTCTATATAAGGTTATTTAATAAATCATTTTGGCTCTTTTTTGAGCGGCGGTATTTATATCTTTCTAAGGGGGTATATAAACACATACGACTAACCCGCTGGATATAATAAACCCAATGGGTTAATCTTCTATAGTATAACATTTTACAAAATTTTTTCCGGATTATCGGGATTTGTTGCTTAATCCGGATTTATTCAAACAGATTTACAATACAAAAATAAGTCTTGTCACAATAATGATATTAGGGTTGACGTTTTTTGTCGATAGCGACAAATAATTGCTATTCGGCCCAATTACGGTTGTCGTTACTATAGTCGTCGTCGACTTTATGTGCGAGTCGCCCTCGCCGTCGCTTCGATTCAAAAATGGTATTATGGTAAGGCATAGAAGCGACATCGACAGTTTAAAATAAAAGTTGGCAACAATTAAAAAACGTTGGCAACACTCCCTTGTTATTGACAAAAAAAGGAATAATTTTGTTTTGTATTTTAAATTCTAATTTCGACTCTTTCGGAAAAATAAAAAATATAGTGAAAAAAATGAAGATTATAAATGCGTTACATATCTTAAGTTCAAGTGAGGATGAAAAGAAGAATGTATTAGTAGTGCAGCGGCGAGTGTTAAGGCAACCAACAAACATATTTGCATTGCCTGGCTCTTGATTGTGTTGTTCCAAAAGTTTATAACGCTCTTCCAAGAGTTCAATAGTTTGTACTTTCTTTGATGACTTTTTACCATTGTTTTTTCTGGGCGATCGAGAAGTTTCAATAGTAGGTTACATCAGTCTCGTCTTCAGCATTGTCCACTTACTCATTTTCATGAACTATAACGTCTATTAACTTTATGTTTTCCTTATTTTCTATTCCAAGTGCACCACCTGGTCTGTTCAGTAACTTTTGAAACTGCATTATATTAGCGACAGACTCATCCAATGGCGACAAAGTCATTTGCTTAAAAATGCCACCTCCAGTGCTGCTGGTTTCATCTTTGTTGTGCACAAGTTTCTTTTTAGTTTTAAAATTTTCCAAACCTAGAAGAATTGTAGAAAACCAACTAATAAAAACATACAAATATAATTTTAATTTTTACATACTTTTTGCCAGCCATCGGAGTCTCTAATCGGAGGCCCGTTTACATTTAATTTTGTAGCAATAGATTCCCAATCAGATTTCAAATTAGCTGGAACATGACCTTTGGTAAACCCTTTTACCAAACATTGATTTTTTCCAATTCGGAAACCAAAATTTCAAATTGTTTTGCTGTTGTTATTTTCATGGTCAAATATCAAATACAAAATGCTTACAATATCAACGTCGACTAAAAAATACTCGGCCCAATTACGGTTGTCGTTACTATGGTCGTCGTCGACTTTATGTGAGAGTCGCCCTCGCCGTCGCTTCGATTCAAAAATGGTATTATGGCAAGGCATAGAAGCGACATCGACAGTTTAAAATAAAAGTTGGCAACAAATAAAAAACGTTGGCAACACTCCCCTGTTATTGACAAAAAAGATATTTTTTTGGTATTTTGAATTCTAAATTCGCTCTTTCGGAAAAATAAAAAATATAGTGAAAAAATGAAGATTATAAATACGTTACATATCTTAAGTTCAAGTGAGGATGAAGAGAAGATTGTATTAGTAGTGCAGCGGCGAGTGTTAAGGCAGCCAACAAACATATTTGCATTGCCTGGCCCTTGATTGTGTTGTTACAAAAGTGTTCAATAGTTTATACTTTCCTTGTAGACTTTTTACCATTGTTTTTTGATCGAGAAGCTTCAATAGTAGGTTACATCAGTCTCGTCATCAGCATTGTCCACTTGCTCATTTTCATGAACTATAACGTCTATTACACTTATGTTTTCCTTATTTTCTATTCCAAGTGCACGACCTGGTGGATTCAATAACTTTTGAAACTGCATTATATTCGCGACAGACTCCTCCAAAGTCATTTGCTTAAAAATGCCACATCCATTGCTGCTGGTTTCACCCTTGTTGTGCACAAGTTTTTTTTAGTTTTAAATTTTAAATCTTTCCAAACCTAGAAGAATTTCAGAAAACTAACTAATAAAAACGTACAAAAATAATTTTCATTTTTACATACTTTTTGCCAGCCATCGGGGTCTCTAATCGGAGTCCCGTTTACATTTAATTTTGTAGCAATGGATTCCCAATCTGAATGAAAATTTGCTGGAACATGACCTTTGGTAAATCCTTTTGCCAAACATGGAAACCAAAATTTCAAATTGCTTTGCTGTTGTTATTTTCGTGGTCAAACAAATATAAAATACAAAATGCTTACAATATCAACGTCGACTAAAAAGTACTAAAAAATCGACTTCACGTCGACTGTTGTATCGACAATGATAATGGCAACCATTTGTCGCTATCGACAAAAAACGACAACCCTAATATCACTATTGTCGCCTCGACTTCATTTTGCGACGCCGACGATAACCGTAATAGGGCCGACTATGTCGTCACAATTTTTTACGGCGACAGATATTTTCAAAAATCGACTTCACGTCGACTATTGTATCGACAATGATAATGGCAACCATTTGTCGCTATCGACAAAAAACGACAACCCTAATATCATTATTGTCGCCTCGACTTAATTTTGCGACGCTGACGATAACCGTAATAGGGCCGATTATTTTTCCGAAAGAGTCGAAATTAGAATTCAAAATACAAAAAAAAAAATATCTTATCAACTTTTATTTTAAACTGTCGATGTCGCTTCCATGCCTTACCGTAATACCATTTTTGAATCAAAGCGACGGTGAGGGCGACTTGCACACAGTGTGACCGCTGGAAATTTTTAAAAAAGTATCACAAAAAGTATAATTTCTTGAAAAAGTGGCACATATCATTTAAAATGGCGGCACAATTTATTTCACATTTTATTTAAAAAGTCAGCTTAGAACAAAACTACAATTTCCTCTATATGTAATACTATATAGTAATAATATACGTATGTACATATTGCATATTTAACCAGTAAAGAAAGCCTTGATATATTTCCATGAATATCGTTGTTACAGAGTGAATATTACGGCTGCGGAAGACAAAAATAACAAATCGGATGAACAATATATATGGGAGCTATAGCTATATCTGAACCGATTTCGATCACATTTGGCATACTTATTTCAGGCCTAATTTGGGTGCATGTGCAAAATTCCATACTATTCCGGCCGATATTACACGTTTGGTGCACAATAAAAGGCAAATCGGACGAAGATATATATGGGAGCTATATCTAAATTTTGACCGATTATGTCCAATTTCAATAGGGTTGTCCTTGGGCCAAACAAATGATTGGTGCAAAATTTCATCCGGATAGGGTAATAAATGCGAACTGTTCTTTGTTTTCAAAAATACGACGGACGGACATGCATAAATCGACTCAGAATGTGATTCTATGCAGGTCATCGTAAGGAACTATGGGTCTATCTAGTTTCCTTTTGACTGTTACAAACAAATGCACAAAGACATAATACACTGACAAGTAAAAAAGCTGTAAGTTCGGCCGGGCTGAACTTTGAATACCTTCCCCCATATGGTACAAATTTGGCAATTTTGAAAAAACAAAAATCCATTAAACATTCTGTGAAAATCTTAAAAATACCAAATGTAGCCGGATATTAGGGTCTATACGACGACGTGGATCTGCATACGCAACTTTTGTCATAAGCCTGCCCAGACAATTTTCTGGCATAGGATGTAGTATCCATTACGTAATATCCAAATACAAAATTTGAAATAATTCCGGTAAATAATGCAGCTAAAATCAACAAAATACTGTATATCGGGGGTACCGTAATATGGGGGGGGGGGGGGGGGGGGGGTATACGAAGACGTGGACCTGCACAGACAATTTTCTGTCATAGGCTATAGTAAAGTAATTAAAAATGTATCTTAAAAGTTGTTCCAGAAATAAACAAACAGAACAATGTTGACAACTTTGAGCATGCGAAAACCACTTACAAACACCTAATATAAGAGCGTTCGCTCTGAAATTTGCTATCGCAAATTGGAAATAGCAGCGTACGACGCTTTTCATTGTTTCATTTCATTTCATTGTTTTTAAAATACAGCGTTTAGATTAAAATATACGTAGTTTAAAAAAAAAAGGTGGCACAATGTTTAAAAAAGTGGCACAAAAATTCAAAAAATTGGCTCATTTAGGATCAAAATAAAAAAATGGCACAAAGGTATCAAGGCCCAAAAAAAGGTGGCAAAATTGATACTTTAGTGGCACAACGGTCACGCTGCTTGCACATAAAGTGAAAACGACAACCGTTATTGGGCCGATTAATGTGGTACACGATGCACGTATTTTTCAACATTAATTGTTCTTTTTGGCTACTTTTGGAATTCTCTTTTGGTTTGGATCATGGTAGAAATTACAGGTTTCAACGCTCGGGAACATTGTCATAGGTAACAAGTAAAATAATTAATACCCTCCACCTTAGGGTAAACATTAGAACCCATTATGACCCACAAATACCAATTTTTTAACATATTCGTGGGAAAATGTGGTAAAAATCATCAAAACATCGAATATCGGGAGGTATATGGGGCCATACAAAAATGAGAAGATATACATACAATGTTTCGCCAACGGAGCTAGAACCCATTCCAAAATCATCAAAATATCGAATATCGGGAGGTACCGTTATATGGGGACTATACCAAAACGTTGACCGATACATAATTTTCAATACCAACCATCCTAGACACTACAAATTACTCTGGTAAATTTTGACGCTCTACCTCAAATAATGTGGGCTGTATCGTGATTTCAACAGACAGACGGACATCGTTAAACCGACTTAAAGTTTTATGCTGATTATGAATATATACCTTATGGGGTCTACGACGAATATTTAGGGATGTTACAAACGGAATGACAAAGTTAAAATGCCCTCCTTTCCAAGGTGGAGGGTATACAAATTTGAAAAAGCTTTGCTCAAATTTACATAGCCTTTTAATTGGTGTCATCTCAATGACATGAAGTTGAATTTAAAAATATGTAAGCATATGTGTTTTTTAGATCTAAACCTATATCAAATCATTATAGTATAAATGGATATGTGTTATCAACTGTAGATTCCTTCACTGATCTGGGGCTTTTGATGGAACCAAATTAAATTTTAATAACCATATTACCTCTATGGTAAATAAAACATCCGGTGTCTTAGGTTTTATTAAACGTCGGACCAAAGAGTTTTATGATCTATATGTTACTAAACAACTATATTTGTCTCTTGTTGGTCTAATATTAGAATATGGTTCCTCTGTGTGGGACCCTCAATATACTTCTTATTCCGATACAATAGAGTCCGTACAGAAGCAATTCCTGCTTTTTGTTTTAAGAGGTTTAAATTGGGGCAATAGTTTTGTTTTACTTTCCTGTACTAGCAGGTTAAAATTAATTCGATTACCTTCATTAAAAAGTAGACGCATTATGTTTAATTGTATAATGATGTTAAAAATTTTAAACTGTACTGTACCATCTGATGTTCTTATTTCCTCTATTATAATAAATATCCCTTTTAGAAATAGTAGATATTATCAATTGTTATATACTGAATTACATCGCTCAAATTATGCGATGGGTGATTCTGTCGGTAAAATGAGTGTTGATTTCAATTATTTATATTCTTATGTAGATTTTGGTATGGATATATTTGCAATAAAATCTAATATGATTTTGTATTTAAATGTTGTATGTAGATAATTGTATTTTTTACCAGCTGATGAATTTATTTTCTTTAGTTGAAATTACTAACGCTTGCTGATAACCCATCATGGTGCGGATCATGATCATGTCGATGTATGTACCTGTAACGCCTAAAAAGGAAAATAATCCCACTTCCATTTATTCAGACTGTTGCTCAAGCAATAACTAAACACTTACCGTGATTCTTTTGAATATTTAAAAGCCAAACTGCCTTGTCCACTAAATATTATTTAAAGATATATCTTCAGGTTATGCGAATATAACTGATAATATTAAAAAGGTATTTATTTGCGATAATATTAAGCTTTTTTAGCTAATTACAGATTGTATGAGTTACGTTTTTATAGTATAAACAACAAGTAGCGTTTAAACTAAAATAGTGTCATCCAATTCTTCATCTTTTCCTGGTGGCTGAACCGCAACTTTTCTTAAAACCTTACTCACGACCTCGGACAAGGAATCTCTAGCACCTGGATCAAGTACTTGGCACACATGTTCGTAGACAGTCTCATCTTTCCTTAATTGTAAAATAGATACTAAAGCAATTTCAGCGTTTGATTTAACATATCCATTCTTCTCCTTTGTTCCGTTAACAAGCATTGGTATTAATGATTTTATCAATTCTATTGGCAATTCCTTTACGTTTGAAGAATTTGCAATATAATTGCAACATTTAGCTACCAGTTGTTTTATTTCATTGTTGGTGTGATTCATTGCTCGAGAAAAGGTCCATAAAACTTGCGATGGTAATGGTTTTTGCGATTCCAATTTATATTTAATTATATACGTTGCTGCTCGTATACCGTTACTAGCAATTGAAACTTTGTCAGAAGATATATGCAAAATAATCGATGCTAAAATTAACTCTTCGTGTCCTGAATTTAAAACAATGTCTGCACATTCCTTAAGTCCTACAAATAAAAACACAGTTCGCCCGTGGTTGAATGCTGCATCACTACCTTCCTCCAGCAACATATAATTACGAATCAGGTCGTCTATTTCATGGCTGTGGAGATATTTAAGGAGTGCACCCAGGCATCCTCCTGCAGCTCCTCGCGTAATATCCTCCTGATGTCCAAGCAGACTAATTAAAGTTCCAATAACCTGTTTTTTAAGAGAATCAGACATTTTATTTCCTGCTGGAGTAATAATATTTCGCAGAGCATGCAACATTGTTTCTCGCGTAGCGGAGTCATCACTTATTTTAAGACTGTTGTGAATTTCATTAAAAATTGGATCTGCCCTTGTATGAATTACAACCAATTCAGACAAAGCATATCCGGCTTTCATGCGCACCAAACGATTCTGATCGTGCAGTGCCTTCAAAAAAGTAGTTTGTAGTTGTGGCAAAAATTGTTTTAGCATGACACCAACTTTGTGAAGCAATATTGCAAGTGTTTCAAGAACTGCAGCTTTTACACCTGCATTGAATCTGTCTCCTAAGATTCTAATAAGCGGGCCAGTAATATGAACAACGGAAGGTTGAAGGGATTGTGCACTTGTAAGAACTATAATTTCTCCAAGACCTTGTGCTGCGTTTTCCTTCTCTTCTGGAAGACCATTTAAAATTGCTTCCCTAAACACAGGTAATAAAGGTGTAATACCCTTTGGTAAACAAAATCCCGGCAATTCTGCTTCCTTAGAATCACTTGCTGCAAAACGAACTGCTTGTCTGACATCGGATACATAAGAAATTTGCTGTGTTGAGTCCAGTCCTTTTACCACCGCATTTAAAGCTTCCCACGAGTGCTGTAATATATCTCGGTCTTTCTCTGCTAAGAGTCGAAGAAGACATCGCAATAACTGTGGTACATATTGGGCATAATTGCCAGGTGAGTGTATACAGAAAGCTGACAATAAGCTAACAGAAGATTTTCGAGTTGTAGAAACTTCAGATTTAGCAGAGGCCATCAAGGTATCCATGATAATTCGAACGCCAACGTCATCCGTTACTGATAACACAACAGCCTGACAGTATTCTAATTCTTGCATTTCGTTGCTCGTTCCCTGTGCTTCCGAAAGTGCTTCCAAAAGAGCGTGGAGAATTTTAGGTAAATATTTTGTAAGTGCATCTCCAGCTACTGATACAAGAATGGAAAGAGCTTTAGTATTTACTGGTGGTGTTGTTAATTGTGGAACTAAATATGGTAGTACAACGCGTGATTTTATGGACATAACCTGTCGTAATCCATCCAACGTATTCTCAGATATATTCGGATCAGGGTCGGAAAGTCCTTCCATCATTGATGGCAATATATCATCTAAAGCCTTTGAACCCACTGTAGAATGAAGTGAGTCAAATGTTTTAGCTGCAGCCAGTCTTACTTCTGGAAGTGGATCGGAAAGTGCTTTTCTCACAGTTGGAACTAGACTATTCACAAAAGATAAGACCATTTCCTTTGATGTAGATTCCATTATTTCAGACAATCCAATACAAACACCCTGTCGTTGATCTGCATGCTCAGAGTTCAAACCACTTTCGAGTATAGGTATTATTTCGGGTAATACTCGTTCTCCTAGTTTCCTAACAAGATCTCCCAATGTTCGCGCAGCTACTTGTCTTTTGTCATAACTTGTACTGGCCAAACAGCCCAGAAGTAGTCCAAATAAAGTAGGGAGAATTTCACGTAGCGTTCGTGGGGTATTTGTTACAACGACTTTCCACACATGCAGTGCCGCTTGTCGAACCATAAGGGAAACATCACTACGTCCCATGTATAAGCCTGATAGTACTCTATTTCGCCTTTCATTACCCAAAAATCGTATAATAGCGGTATGAGATTGCTCAGTTCCAAAATTATCGTCTTCGCTAGCTGTTTCGGTCGTCATCTTGCCAGAAACCCCAGATATCCGGTATAACAAATCGCCGAGTAGCTGAACTGAACTAAATCTGATACGCCAATTATCGTCAAACAATCCTTTTTCCAGTTCTGGTAGTAAAAGGGTAACAGCCGTTTCTGCATAAAGATTTACTATACGTTGACCTGCCTTTAACGCTGTGTCACGAACATATTCATTTTCATCTGCAAGTGCCTTCAGAATAGGATTTATTATTTGACCTATGTATGGTGTAAAATCTTGGGGAAATGTGTTTGGCATATATATAAACATCATTATATAGCCATCTTTTACATGAGGCGCTATATCATGTCTCTCTGCAGTCGAAATTATTTCAGGCATAAGCTTGTGTAATTTTTCGACTCCAAGACCTCCAACAACCTCAGAAAGCCCTTGAGCTGCCCCACTTCGATCAACACTGCTCGATTCAGAAGTAAGTGTCTGCATTAACCAAGGTAATAAATCCTCAAACGACGATTCTCCCATTCCTCGTACCATTGCACCCAAAGCTCGTGCTGAAACGGCTCTTACTTCTGGCACAGGATCCAACAATGACATTTTTAGGCCGGGTATGATATTGGGTAAGTACGGAGTCAAATCTTTCTGATCGGTTAGTGAATACATGTTACCTATAATTTGAGCAGACATTTTACGTGTTTCTGTAGACCGATCCAAGAAAGCTCTTTGTACAACAGGCATTATTAACGCTAAGGAAGGGGCATCGATAAAATGTACGAACTTTGTTTGTAGCAAATTTTGAAGACAAATAGATGTATATCGGGAAGGATCTTCAAGTGCTTTTAATAGAACAGGGACTATTGCCTGTATCTCTGGATTTTTTATAACAGAACCGATTACCTTAAGAGCGTCAGCGCCAGCTTGCTGAACCTTCGTGTGAGAATCACCTAAAACTTCAATCAATTTTGGCACTATGGCAGGCAAACATGATGACAATTGTTTAGGTGCGCAAAAAGCCATTGCTCCCAAAAGTTCAACTGACGCTGTTTTAGTCCTCCAAGAATCTTCATCTAGGGCTTCAAGCAATGATGGCAAAACTAACTTCACGCCATGCGCCGACAACTTGGCCATTACCACTTTTGCAGTATCATCAGCAGCTTGTCTTACATATTGTGAAGAATCCCCGAAACATTGTAGTAAATGAGGTAGAACATGTACAATATAAGGTTCAAAAAGACGACCTAGCGTAGTACAGAGAATTTCAAATGCAAATAGTGCTCCTTCACGAGATTTATAGTTTTTCTTTTCTTGTATGAATGTTGTTAATTTAGCCATTATGTCGAATTGCTTAAGCGATAGTATTCCAAGACCTTTTACAATTCCTGCTATCCCGTACGCAGCGCCTCTACGTTCACCATACTTTTCTGATTTTACAAGTAAATGCAGTAGCCGTTTTATCATAGATGATGCATCATCTTTCACTGATGGCATTAAATGAGGTAAACAATTTGAAACAGCTTCTTGTACTTGTTGAGAAGGAGTTGATAGCGCTGTCAATAACCTTCTTACGATTGGTTCTATTCTTGGATCGTCCTTCTCTAAATGGCGTGCCAATGACCCCATTAAAATAACCACGGCTTGTCTTATGTTATCAAAGCTTTCAGATTTAGGAGCTTTGTCCAAAAATTCCTCGAACACAGGAAGAAGATCAATAATAGTGTCTTTTCCATGAATATCGACAATAGTAAGAGCAGCTGCTAGCATTTCTTTATGGACAATTTCATCTCGATCACCAAGTCCAGCAGATACCATAAATTGCATCACATGATTTACTTCTTCAATTGAGAAATGTTTTGCAGTTTTCGATATAGCAATGGCGACGCCTCTTCTTGACCTCCACTGATCAATAGCGGGTTCAATTTCACGATCAAACTTATCTAACTTCGGAGGAATTTTTTCAAGTTTTTCATTATAAATTTTAAGAAGTTTTTTTAAAACGCCTTTGGCATTTGAGGGGTCAGATCCAAGCAATGGCACTAAAGAATCGGCTGCCGCTTTCTGTATGCAAATATCATCATGCACAACATACGCTAAAATGTGTTCATAGACTGGAATGTTTAACTTCAAGTTTTCCCAAAGATTAGTGGCAAGTCTGCGATTTTCGGGACAAACATCAAATATTGATATCCAAATTATATTTTGGAAAATAACCGAAAAATCATCATCATTTTTGCATACATCCTCTACAGCTTTCTGCAAAATTAATAACACTCGAAGTGCAGCATCTCTAACTGTTTCCAAGCTATCTTCTAAAGCATCTAAAAATAACTTTATTTCTTCTCTATTGGCCGTTGAACAATAATTTTCGCCAGACTTGCACTTAGCAACCTCAAGTAAGGCAGTGACGGCTTGATTTTGAACTCTACCGCTATGTACTCGGATAGATGTTAATAATAGCTGGAACATTTCATAGCAAGGCAAATACTTTGGATGGCGAGAGTCACACAACTCGCCGTGAATTGTCTTCCCCCTTGTTTGGGCATGCAATTCAATAATTTTAATGCCCCATATTAAAATATCTTCATTCGATGAAACACATGTGCAAAATAGCGCCCTTCGGAGAAACTCAAAAACATAGGTAAATGCTGGACTCAATAATGCATTTCCGCTATCTAACGTGTATGTTTTAAGCTCAGTGATGGTGCTCATAACAGCGTCATCCAGCTTAATGTTGAGCCAGTCATTATTCAGATCACAATGCGGTTTTTGTAAGCGGATTGTAGTTACTGCAATTTGTTTCCCCAAAGTAGGAATTTCAAAGCATGCATCATTTAAATAAATGTACAGTTGCACCAGACGATCTGCAGCCAAAGGAGACTTCATAGCTATTAATATGGTGCTAAGTATTTTCGGAAAATGTAATGTAAAGTTGTCTCTACTCCCAATGAATGCAGCTTCTATAATTTTCACGGCATTTAACAGTTTATTATTAAGGTCTCGCAAACGTTTTTTTATTTGAAGCTCTTTCTCTGTTTGATTCCGTATAACTTCTTCTTGCTTTGGTGTAAGTTTAATTGGTTTTGCTTTACCATCTTTCCGTTTTTTTTCTTCTATTTCTCTCCTCAATTGCAGTTCCTCTATCTGTTCCTTATAACTATAAGCTTTATTCTCCCTTTTTAGTCCAGTCGTTGAATATAAGTCTTCAGTATTTGGTATTACACTTTTGTCATACAATTCTCCATCAGGGGTTAAAAACGTAAAATATTCGTCATCTGTTACGTTTATCATACTGGGGTTATTTAAATCATTCGTGACATTTCTTATTAAAAGTGGAAGGAATGTATCAGAACTTATTCTTGCCAATGTTGCTATTGCATTTTCGTAAAGAAGCGTTGGCTTAAATTTTAGGACGACACGTTCAAAAAGTTGCACATGTTTAGATGATACAAACTCTTGAGGATCTAATCCAAATTGATCCTTCAATAAATTTTCCCAAAATTTGGGTTCAACATTTTTCACCAAAGGATGATGACATACTAAAATTAATTGAAGAGATAAACATTCCGATTCTGTTGTAGTAATATTTGAAATATTACACATAATTCGTACTGTCTCTATTATAGATTCTCCAAGTATATGCGAATCAGCTTCATCTAGAGTCTTCTCATATATTGCTAATTGGTTTTCCAATTCTTCAAAAATATGTTTTCCAAACTCGACGCACCGCTCATTGGATGTTAATTTATACAACAGATTTTTAGAATAGTCTCGCACTTTTTTTGATGTGGATAAAATTGAGAGTACTAATGCTCTAAATAAGGCATCACAATTTCCTTTAATATGTTTGTAATGTTCTGTTAAAAGACGTTGTGCGATATCAGTTATACAGCATAACATATCCGGCGATGATGATCCTATAAATCGCTCCGAAAAAAATATGGATTTGTTTAGATCTAGTATTGAGTTCCAGAAGCTTATTAAAGACGTGTTCTGTTCAGCTTCCTTGGCTTTAAGAAGAATGCATGCAACACACGCCGCTTCAGATACAAGTGAGATTTGAGAACTATTGATTATACCTTGATCAAATAGTTTTACAAGAATAGTTAAAAAACTGTCTTCGATAAAAAATGACTTGTCATTCATAGAAGTTAGGAGCCACTGTAAGTACGATAAGCGAACAGCTGGTGTGGTGGTTTTCAATTGCAGACCTTTTTTGGCAATGTCGCAGATTGTTGCATTAAAGTTTTCAGTGAATGTGGTAGACCATGTGCCAAATGCATCTAGCGATTTACAGAGCACCTTCTCATGAACTTCTGTGACCAATATTTTCGAGAACATTTGTATAACAGTTGGAAATAATATTGGCATATCCACAGGGTTTACTTTGTTATTTCGCAAATTTCCTGCGCACTGCAATTAAACAAGAAATCAAGATTAAAACATGCCATAAAATTTTTATTGCATATATATTTTGAATTTATATTGAACAAAATAAAGTTATTGAACAAAATTCATTAAAATAAGAAAAACTAGCAAGAAAACAGCTGTCACTAAAACATTTTTTTAGACAACTACGAACAAAAAAAAAAAAAAAACAAAATTCGCGATATGTGTTTTCCAATTTTAGATTTCAATCACATCCCCAAACACATGGGGAAAAAATAAATTATAAAAATATTGAATTGGCTTATTTAACTTTGATATAAACAAAAAAATATAGAAAAAGAAAATGTATTAATTAATAATTATTTGTTCATTAGAATTCAAATCAAATAAATATAGCATACAGCTTGAAATCATAAAATTTCATAGACTGCTATGATTAATATTGCCTTTCATTCTCATAAGAAAATTTTGATTTTATTTGTTGATTTTATGGGTAAAACTACGTAAAGCCGAATGAAGCTGATTCCTCAATCTCACCACTTTAACAATAAAATACCTCTCAGCAGTTTGAGTAGGACACAACAGTTGGGGATTACGAAATGATCTACAAAATACAAACATTTCACGGAGAAGCGAGTCAACATTGCTCATAACATAATTACATTGCTGGGGTTGTCATTTGCTAATTGAAACCCGTCCTTTAAAATCAATTTTGTTTTCTGAAATTTGCAGAGTTTCAGAATGAATTTTCAAATAACCTCGACCAAAATCAAATCCTGTGAAAACATACAAGTTTTCGCGTTTTTCATATTCTCTGAGTTTTTCATTCCGAAGGGGATATATCGAAGTCCGATATACCCCTTGGTCATTCCCTAAAATAAGCCTTAAATTTAGTCTCAGGGTTTAAGATCCAGCGCCTATTGAAATTAGGCTTGCAGAGCAATTTCTAAAATTCCCTAAAATAAGCTTTAAATTTAGTCTCAGGGCTTAAGATCCAGCACATATTGAAATTAGCCTTGCAGAGCAATTTCTAATAGAATAGAAACAGCAGCTATGGCTCAAGTTATATATGATCAGATCATCAAATTCTGCACACAAAATAGCAATAGCTGTGAATTCGGCTGATGCTTTTTTAACTTTAGCCGAGTGAGTAACTGTAATAAAACACGTACATATTTATTTGAGCTCTTCAGCCTACCGAAGTTTATTTTTGAATTGTATCTTACCAACACTTTCCCGAAATTATTAAGTAAAATTACATAAAACTGAAATATATATTTATTAAAATGGTTCAAATATCAAATATATAAAGATTCGATTGTTATCGATTGTTATCGTATACGATGTAAATTTTTAATAAGCATCACATAACTCAAATCTGTTTTTGTTGGCCAGAAACCCAGCTAAGCAGTAGCTGCAGCTTTTTTGATGCTGAGCAATTTTGGTGTCAGCCCTAAATTTCAATTTATTTGCAGACCGCTCACTAACATTTTGTGTTAGTCAACTATATCAAAAAAAGCATTAGCTACCTAATTGCCCAATTATAATAATCATTTTAAATCGAGTTGATTTATAAATCCATCTTTTTAATCCTACTTGTTTAGACTGGTTTAAAGTGATTTAAAATGTCAGTCGGCTTATCTTGTTTACATATTCATACGATCTTTCTTATTTACTCAAGAATTTGCTAAAATAATTGTTTGGAAATTAAAAATGGAAAGAATTTATGTTTTAACTCAAGTTTTTTTACAATATTGAACAATATACAAGGATCTAAAAAATATATTGATGAAAATGTTGATTTTAATAAAAAAAAAAAAAAAAAAAAAAAAACAAAATATGAGCCTGCGAATGAATCAACAAAAATATTTGCAGAAACATATATTATTTCCGTAAAGTTCACGTAGAATCTCTTCTCCAGCTGGTGACAAAATGCGCAGACAAATTATTATATTTATTATTATTTTATTAAAGGAATACCTTAATTTAATTTTCTGCGTCCATAATATTCATATTTTCCACGATTTTAAATCCCAAGTCTTCTGTTTTTTTTTTGTGTGTTCTGTTACAGCCTTTTTACAATTCGGATTAACGGCACATAATATAATACATACAGTTGACAATTTTGGTACAATATTTGCAGTATTGTATGCCAAAATATTGCGACTTAACATCGGATTTAAAATAAAAGCATGTTTTGATTTAATTTGCAAGACTTACCCAACAAAAAAAAATTCAAATATAGAAACATCTATCATAATCTCATCGACACCATGAATTCTTTTATGACAAGTACGCAAAGCATGATGCAAGAAGTGATGAGAAATCAATGTATGCTAATGCAAATAATTTTAAAACAAAAACAGATAAAATTCCAATCTTTTTTTTGGAACGCAATCGCTCAAGCCACTATAAATACGAGGTCGAAATTTTTATTCAATCGCTCAACATATACATTATACTGGTGTCGAAACTCATTTCACTTATAGAAACTGTTTCGAATAAACATGTTGAGTATCTTCAACGAATTCAGTTATATCTGCTACATATTGTCCCCCAAGACATAGCAACGGTGAATTCACTCATTTCTTCTCATATCTTAGAAACAAATTTTATTGCAGATGGCGAGTATAATGCTAAGCACACTCTCTGTGGATCTAGACTCATTAACCCAAGGGCGGACAACTTTTAAACTCCATTTCTTTCGCTAATGGTCAGCCAACTACCCGTAATTTCTCTTGAATCAGACCATCTCCTAATAACCGTCTCCATAGGCAGATCGACCGATTTCATAAGCTCTGAACGCCGCACTTTTCTTAACCAGGAGAAATCTCACTGGCCAGAATTCAGAGAGTGACCAACCGTAACTTCAAAGAAGGATTTTTCGAGACATCATCAGAGCTTTAGCCGCCCGCTGAGATACAAAAACTATTCAAAGAAAGCAAAAAATGTCGGAAATAGCATTAAATTTTAGAATAAGTTTAGATTTGTTCAAATTAGTCACCTTTGGCACGAAATATGGTCTTCAAACGGCCAATAACACCGTCACACGCTGCCCGAATGTTGCTTTGCGGTATTTTGACCCATTCCCGGCGAAGCGCTTGCTTGAGATGATCGATACTTTGGTATTTTTTAGTGTCAACCTTGCTTTCCAAAATATTCCAGACACGATAGTCCAACGGATTGGTATCCGGAGATTTTGGTTGCCATTGTGCGCTGGAAATGAGGCGAGGAACCTCATTTCGTAACAATTCTTCAGTGGCGCGTGCTGAGTCCTGTTGGAATGTCCAAGGTCTGCGGCAAAAAGGTTGCATGCCCAAAGCTTTAATACACCCTTCAGAATATTTTCGCGAAAAGCGAGAGCGACCATCGGCTGTTATGGCGGCCCACAGCATCGCCATGGCCGGCGATTGAGTTCTGGTGGCCAACCGAAGGTGCACATTTTCAGCTGAACTCTTTGACAAGTAAACACAATTATTTTGTTTGTTTACAAACTGCTGGACAACGAATGTCTCTCATCGGAGAAAACCAAATTCGGCAGTTCACCACTTTCGGCCAAGCGAAGCAGCGCTTTTGAGTGTATTTTCTTTCTGTTGCGGTGTTCTTGCACTATTTGGAATTTCAATGGCTTTACCCCGAGCTCATTTTTCAATACTTGCCGAATGGAATATTGCGATATGTTCAGCTCACGAGCCAATTTTCTTCCACTGAGACGCGGGTTTCAATCAAGTCGCTTCTTTACTTTCGAACCATTTCTGCTGATGTTGCTGTTTTCTTCCGTCCACTTCCTTGACATCAGGATACGCTATCAGCATCACGGTAATGAGCGATGGTACGAGACACAGAAGATTTATTCACATATAAGTGCTGGAGAGCTCAAACGATAGCCACTTGTGGTTTTCCAGCCAAATATAAAGAAATCACACTATCACTCTTAAATTCCATCACGAATAACCATTTTTCTGGAAAATTCTCACCAAAATGCTTTTGTATACTTGTAAACAATATAGTGAGCTGCCATTGGAATAATTTTAACAGCTGTCGGAAGAGTATCTAAGAATTGACTGCAGTCTGAAGGTGGTTGCAGTTTTTTCATCTCACCCTGTATAACTGCCGGTAGAATACCCGATAGAAGCCCAACATTTCCCAGCTGAAACTGCGGGACTAGCAAATGAGCGTGGTGATCTCCGCCGTTTCAGATCTAAAGCTGCAAGAGAGAGCCTCTATTCGTATTGGGCAAGAAGTCGTGCAAAACCCACCTCACTCACTCCAGACGACCTCTGGTTACAACCAGTAGCCGAATTTTTGAAACTGGAGTTAGAACTAGAATAGCAGAACCCAAACATAACATGTGAAATTGTAACACCAACAAAATTAAGAGAGAACAAATGTCCGTGTTACATTCATTCGACTTGTCGTCAGATCAATCAACTAGTAATTTCCCCTTATTATCTATATAACTCTAATAAACATACACACTGGAGGAAGTACAAAAATATGTTAGTAAACATCAGAGGGCTGCAATAAGAATGAATGAGTAGGGCTTGATCATACTTAGTGGTAAACACTGCCATCGTTCTCCACTAATAAACAAACGTTGTTTTCATAAAAGCCACAATAATGGGATTAAGCCTAACTATTTTGCAAGAACAAAATACTACTGTTCTATTAATAGACAAGGCACGGTCGACGAATGGGTTTTTGTTGTAACAGTCAAAACCAAGTAACATGGTTATGTTATTTCGTTCAGGTAAACGAAAGCATAACAAGTGGAGATGAAAATGTTTATGAGTGCGGTAGTACGATTTAGACGTTTTTCCAAAAGAATTTTAGTTTAATTTAATACTTTGGTTTCTCTTCTATTGAGCTTACGATTTCGTCACTTGAGTAAAGTTTCTTTGTCATAGGAGTTATTTTAAAACTCCTGGGGAGAATATCCCAGACAAAAGATAAGGAAACTGGTGAGGATTGGTGTCTCTTTCCGAAACCTAGGTATTCCCTGCCTTAGCCCTTGGTAAACATTA